AGAGACATTAATAATTGTCTCTCAACATTATGAAAACTTCAAAGGCAACATTCAAACGTACGACGTGCTTTAAAAAAAAATAACCGACTTTATTTTTCTCGCCAAAACTAATGCTGTGTAGAAAAGATCTTTTGGATGAGAGGTGGCGTCACCTAATACCGCGTTCAGTTCGCAGCTGTTACGCCTAGATAAGGACGCGAAGTAGCGTTACTTAGGATATTCGTTTTCGAGCAAGATCACCGAACGCATCAAGCAGAGATATTGCACCAAGCTTTCCTGGTCCAGAACAGTACATTGACAGGCTCACTACTCTCCCGACCCTATGAATTATGGCTCTTCCTCAATCTGTAAACCACGCGATTTTCATGTTTCTATTGCTCCGCCAGCACTTTGTATTTGCATTTTGACGACACTATCCACATGCACAAATCCTCCGTTAAAAATTGAAATGCACTGATCCTGTGCTGATTCCCACTTCAGCTTGTGGATGGTCTTCCTGAGCGTGGCTCACTCGCCACTGACGTTCGGCCATGTTTGAAGCGATTGTACCATTCTTTGATCTGAGTTTTGTCCATGGCATCAATGCCAAAGGCCTGCTGAATCTTCTGGAAGGTTTGAGCTTGAGCAAAACTTGATGTAATATCTGTACACGATGCATTCTGTCATCTTGTATGAATACGAAAATCCGACGATTTTAGTGTTTAAGCCTTTTTATTATATCCTTACTCTGACGATTTAGTGTTTAAACTTTGAAGAAATGTAGTCGCCTGGAGAGTTTTTACAAATCCAACGGTCTCTTCATCAGTTGTTAGACCAATCATATTGTTCTATGTGCCTTTTACCTTCAAGGTGTCGGCGATCATGGTTTTCAATAATGCACTCTCCTTTGTAGCTCTTAATAAACTTTGTCTTTCTGTACTCTAGGCGTAACAAGCAGGAATAAACTCGATCTACCGGCGCGGATATATTCCCGCATGCGCAGAGAGAGTGGCGTCATTTCCTACCCAAAGGATTTTGCTCGCGAACACACCTCAAGAATGCAGCACTTCCTTTGCACCCCTGTTAATCCAATTGGACGTGGTTCTTATTCTTTCAGAGGTAAGGATCAATCTATGGAAAATGCGACACCGAAATCTGAACGCGCGTTGGTTAAAAAAAAAGATGCATTCTAAAAATAAAGAAAGTATTACGAAACAGGAAAACTCCTTTAGAAACAAAGAAAGATTGCTGAATTGGTATATAACATCAATCCTTATGTATGGCAATGAAAAAAGGTCCTTTTGATTTTCTATTTTCTCTTAAAATCTGTCATTGCTCACATTATAACGCATCTCCTGGCAACCACCATTCATAAGCCGTATTTGTGCTGGTCTCTAAATACAACACACTTGTTTGGGTTGCGAATATCGTACTAGGGACGGCTACACTTTGGTGAAAGTGGCTTGTGTTCGGTGCAATCAACTGCGTTTATTCCTTTCCTGGGATATGTCATCTAGCAATTCAGTTCGGTAAATTCAGGAGCCGGGGATTTTTGTTGGTCTTGGCGAGAATTCTATCGACTGTTTCCTCAATGTCGGTCGATCAGCCTAAAAAAAGGGGGTGGGGTAAATGTACCAATCGGGAGAAAATGACACTGTTGGAAAATTATTAAAAAAATTTTTACAGGTGAAATGTGAAATCGTATAAACAGCTATGGGCTTTTTAATTCCTATCATTCTTTTTCTACCCTTGAGACACTGAGTGCCTTTTTTTGCTAAGTATTGTTGGTGGTGCTAACGTCTTAGCAGTGAATTACTTTTCCGACGAACTTTTTTCTAATTTACGATGTCTCTCCCTCTCTCTCTCTCTCTCTCTCTGAAACTCTCTCTCTCTCTCTCTCTCTCTCTCTCTCTGCAACTCTCCAACTGAACTAACTCTGTCTAATTCATGCGCATGTGTACTCCGTTTATATAGATCTCTGTCCGGGAAATAGATAAGATTAATTAGCTCCACAAACAAAGAACCTTCTGTTAAATAAGTTGTCTACGAAGTGCCTTTCACTTTGGTAGAGGATTTTTAAGTTTCGAAATTTACATGAAAATCAACGCAAATGTGAGGAATAGATTTTGGCAAATTCAATTATCACGTCATGCTAACTTCGTTGGAGTTATGGAGTTGGGTCGTGGGTGTCAGTTATACTGAATCTTACTAAATCTGTCTCTTTTGGAATTAAGATTTGCTGAGCTGCATTTGCCTCAGAGAAGTAAACTCTTTGTCCATTTACCAAATGAACATCTCGTGGCTGTACTGTTGGATATCTCTCATGAATGGGAATTGTAAGTCTCCTCCAAATTGCTTCATTCCTGTTAATGTATCGACCTTGCTGGTACATTCTTACTTCATCTCTTCTAATATCATTATTATTTGTTTTATCAAATATGTTAACGGATGGACAAATTTTGTTGTCTGGGATTGGATATTTTCTAAAATTTGTTGACCTCTTCAAATTTTATCGATACAATATTGATGCAGATATTAAATACTCGCACGGGAATTCCTTTTAATAATAGTCAGTACTTACCAAAATACGCCGATAATAATAATAATAATAATAATAATAATAATACTTTATCAAAGTAATGTGTACCTTATTACATCTAATATAAGTGCAATTACTAAATAAACGACACGGAAACGTAGTGGCAGAAATAAGAAGCATAATTGTACCATTTATCTCATTGACGCCTACAGCTTTTGAAGCGAAAACGATGATGGCTCGCCACAGAAAAAGAAAACTATCTTTCATAATAATAGAGAATGAACATGTCTGTGTTTCATCTTCTGTTTATTACTTTTTATCCCAATTCCAAGTCCGTTATTCCATAACAGTTAAATAATTAGCCTGAATCGAAATAAAGACTAAGCCTCCGTGATAGCAATGTTACTGATACACTATAGACTGAAAAAAAATATATATTCAACAAGAAAAGTTCACCCATCATCGTAGTCATTACGTTTTCACGAGCTTATCAAACCAATTTTGACTTTCCGGCAAGCATCGCCTAAATAAGACATATATTGCTAGACCAGTTGACCATTACGAGTATGCACTAACTTCAATCTTCACTAAGTGTCCTATGTTTGTTTGATTGTGCTTAGGCTATATATTTATAGTCGGGCTCTGACGATCCCTTAAGCCGATGAAACTGCCAGTCGCCATCCAGTATTGATTTCTGTATTTACACTTTTATATCTACAAACGCTTTACTTTCTGGTCACACTCTATTCCTTCTACTTATTGTAAAAAATATTAATTTCCAAAGCCTTTCAAAACATTTCTGCGTCGGTTGTTTAACGACACATGAATGCAATGCAACCTAACCAGTGCATTGTTAAATTCATGCGTCGTAATCAAAAATGGATATAACAGCTACTATCCTCCACACGCATCCTCGAGAAAGTACAGTATATTTAATCCCGATCGGATGAAAAAGACTTGCGATGGGGCAGAGTTTACAGCGTCTTGATTGTATGTACTTCATCTCTCTCCTAAATTGGAAATATATTTGATTCTTTCCTTTTAAAGGAATTCTATGCAGACATCGTCACAGGGAGTTAATATTTGGCGAGATTTAACCACACCTCCGCAGGACGGAAGAATGTGACTAAAGTTCAGTTTAAAGTGGACCCCCTCCTATGTATGTAGAGGTAGTTTTGAAATTGGCCAACTCCTTTGATAGTCACCATTAAGACGATTCAAACATCCTGATTTCACCCCTTAATGGGAAGATGTAGACTGGTGGGTGGAGACAGCTCCGTCAAACTAGACAATGAAATTTTTGCGTCTCTGAACGACACATCCAAGAGATTATATGGCAAATAACGGATGTATTAAAAGGTTAGGAAATATACGACTTACTGATGACAATAAATAAATTCTCCTTAATTTTTTTCTATACCAATCGAACGATTCTCTGATTCGAAAAGCGCTTTGAAGACGGATTAAAAATTATAAACTGGCTTACTAAGTATTTCCTAATACGTAAATCCAATGTAATTCATTAAACTATTGTTTTATTTTTATCGATTCAGTCTAAATGTTCATCACGTGTTATTGAGTCATTCATAACTTTCACTTGAACTTGTGGACCAATTTAGTATCCTTCTAAGAAAATTACGCTAGCAGAGACCAAAACATTCTTAAATCTAACTGTCGGACATACATCCTGCTGCAGAAAGAAAAGAAATTATATTTGAAATATATTCTATACTGAAAAATATAGATATTAATTAAACAAGAAAAGGTCACCACCCCTATTGTAATCATTAAATTTTAATGAGCTTATCAAACCAATTCTGTATCCTCATAAGTATATTCTGCTAACAATAATCAAAACGTTTTTAAATCTAATCGTCGAACATACTGTTAAGTCCTGATGCAGAAAAAAAATAATCTATCCTTAAAATACGCTAGGCAAAGAAACTTAAAAAAGATAAACATTACATAAAAAGAAAAGGTCAACGTTACGTTTTCTTATGAGGTATTGTGACGGATATCCGCACTGAAAATGGAATCAGGTAACCGATAAAAAATCCTAAGCTGGTCTTCATTTCCTAGAATGGATTGTAATGCTTTTCCGACTTTCGAATCGTAGAGAAAGCAACGTGCTAATACTACATTATCTTTCCAAAGAATGCGTAGTAATTCACAGATAGTAAAGCAAATAGAATTCGTGAAGGGACATATCATTAAAAAAAAAATCATTCAATTATAACGTACGTCAAGATAGTGTCTTATCTCTATCCCAGCCACCTGTGCATTTCTCATCTGTTTATATGCAAGCGTTGTACCGAAAACTCTGCTCCTGCAATTGAAAAACGTTGCAATAAATGCATATGAAAAAGGATTACAACCGAGAAAATATCGTCCGTTTACGTCTTCTATGTACAATTTTTCTTCAGGGCGTGAGTGATCATGGCTCCTCACAACTTCCTATATTTTGAAGCTCTTGGGCTTACTGCCGTATCGTGTTGAAACGCCGGTTCTCATGCGATCACCAAAGTTAAGAAATGTCGACCCTGGCCAGTACCTCGATGGGAGACTGCTTGGGAATATCAGGTGCTGTAAGCTTGGATGTGCGGGTGGTGTAATGAATAACGGCTCCAATTTGGAAATCGGAGAGCTGAGTTCCAATTCCAGTTGGTTATATTCACTTACGCACAAATATCCTAGGGAAAGGTATGGATCCACGTATTCTCCACCCAGCTATAAGTTCATTAATAGGACATGTATCAGTAAATTAGTATTATTTTCCCCTAAAATATTCTCATAATCTGACTTTAAGTACCCTACAAAAGGTTGATAAACTGTAAAAAATAAAAATCAATCAATAAATTGAAGCTTTTAGTAAGGTTAACCATCCATCCCGGTCAGTATTCTGCTATCCATTTACACAAACGTATTTGTATAAATGTTAATTGTAGTGGGTACTCGTGTTTGTTTGTTTGTTTTTTTATTATTATTTTAGGACTTCTCAGTTTGCGGAGATTGTTGCTGTTTTGGCTGCCTTTTTATTTAAAATTTAAAAAAAAATCCTCGATACCAATTCATAATTCATTCCAGTTGTAATAAGAAATAATGTCAGATGAAAAAATTGTTTCAGAAATAATTATTGTTTACGTCTCGGGTAGGAAACAGCAACTATCAGATATAGATTCGCATAAATCCCAACGAGAAAAAACGTGATCTCCCTAAATAAGTCATTCAAACTTTCAACTCTCAGTTTGGTCTCCGTGAAAAAAACTAGTAACAGCACGCGTTGTTTCAAAAAGTAGTTTCCTAAATGGAAAAAAAGTGATGCTGGTTTAATTCCTGTCGGCGCCATAATTTTTGTTTAGTAAGCCTTCCGAGGTTAAGCTGGTTTTTATTAATTTCAATGTTTAATAAAATAAAAACAAAGACAGAAACTAAAAAAAAAATGTTTACCAAGTAAAAAAATAATGTTTATTGTAATAAAAAATAATAATCCTTTCAAAGATTACAAAATTGTTAGGTAAAGCACTCGCTTTTTCTCTCCGTCCTTTTTGCCTTCCCGTGAGGGGCAAATTCTCCAAGTTTTCTTTCTTTTATTTATTAAAGACATTTTTATGTTTAACGTTGTTATTTATAGATACAAGTATTTAAGCAAATGCTCTGTTTATGATAAACAGTATTAAATAACATTTACCGACCTGAATGTCCGAGAAATTTTCATAGAAAATATTCGTTCTTTGACATAAACAGAGCATTTGCTTAAATACTTGTATCTATAAATAACAACGTTAAACATAAAAATGTCTTTAATAAATAAATTGTCGGACCTTGTCCATTTCTTAATATATGACGTCATTTGTTTACATTTGATACGCCAGAGCAGTTATGAATGTACGAGATTCATGGAAGATTGAAGTTTATAAGCAGGAAATTCGACCTTGTCTACTGAAAGGTTCTTTGTGGCCCAGAGGTTAGGCACGTCAGCGTAAATGACGGTTCCGTATAGGATGCAGGTTCGAATCCTATCAAAGAACGAATATTTTCTATGAAAATTTCTCGGACATTCAGGCCGGTAAATGTTATTTAATACTGTTTATTATAAACAGAGCATTTGCTTAAATACTTGTATCTATAAATAACAACGTTAAACATAAAAATGTCTTTAATAAATAAATTGTCGGTCCTTGTCCATTTCTTAATATATCACGTCATTTCTTTCTTTTGTATCATTCTGATTACAAGTGTTGTAGCTGCGTTATAAAAAACAACAGTAGAAAACTGGAATTTGTTTAACACGTTTATTAGCTTTTGGTTCAAGGAAACATAATGTAGAATAGAAACTAGAGAAGAAAAGGTTTAGCCGTGAATGACTAATTGTCTTCAGCAAAGGCTATTGCTCCTCCTGCTACTCCTCTTGATGTAGGAGTATTTTTATATCTTTCGTCCGACGGCCAAATCCAAACTTGTAGGGAAATATTCTCCGTCACAACTCTAAGTAAAAGTTTCTTTCTTGTTAGCTCTCTTCTTAAGACTTCTTCGTTGCAGATATGTTCAGTCCATTGTATGACGGCATCCTTCTATAGAACCACATTTTTTTTGCTTCAATCAAGTCTCTTTTCGCGAATGAGATTGTTCTTGGTCATGACTCTCCACAGCTTTCTATCATACCTTCACTAGCTATCATTCCCATTCCCTTAACTGACGTCTATTTACACAAGCTTGTTAGGTGGCTTAATCGACGTTTCACTTTTGATGTGAGTATTAAATTTTCCAAACCCTTCTTCCTCATTATTTAAATTTAAACCGTTTCTAATTATTATTAAAAGTATAAATTAACTTTTCGTTACCATTTTCCTGTAGTCCTGAGTATGATGATAAACTACATCTGACAGTAAGTCTTCTGATCGGGAGACTGGAGATTTTGAGAAGCCTGGAACAATATCTTAATTGCTATTGTTCCTAGATCCACCCTGAGCTGGGGTGGTAGCACCTGTTAGGGTTCCAGCTATGAACAAATGGTAAACCCCCAAACAAAAGCAAAACTGTATGAAAGTGTAAAAAAAAACGCCAGCAATACATTTTTTTTTATAAAACTAATTACCAACATACCTATTTACCTATTTAAAGTAAAATGACTAATAATACATTTTATCTGTACTTTGATGGCAAACAGTTTTGTTCAGATTATTTAGATTTCAGCATTATCAATTAGAAGTTGATATGCGGATAAACACAACCAACCAATCAACCGTTTTTCTTAAAAATGTCATCTTGCTCTCAAGTTTCGTTCATGATTTTCTCTGCATCGCTTCAAGTCTTCTCTTCATCTGTGAAGAAATTGTCCGGAATTCACTGCCATCTTGGAGTATTGGTATCAGTTCAACACTCATTCTTTATTTCTGACGACATTATTCTAACGCTTGATGTTTTATTTAGTTTGTTGCATTCCTGTCTCAAAACTAAACTAATTTATATATGGAATAGTGATGAAAAACTGGATAAAAAAAGAACTACCAATTGTAAGTCGACAGAATGTTTGGTTGTCAGTAAATGAAACAGATTAATAAGAAATCTCAGAATTCTAGATGTCAAAATCAAACAAGTACAGACATTTAAATATCTGGAAAGTGTTTTAACAGAGGATGGAAAATTTGATGCCGAAATTCGAAGGCGTATTAAACCAGCAAAAGATGCCTTCAAAAATCTAAACAAAGTATTAAGAAACATAAAAATTTCGTTAGAAACAAAGGAAATAGTCCTGACAATATGACAGTAAATGCTGGACAGTTTCGTCACAGATAGAAAAGAGATTTGATACAACAGAAATATGATGCTGAGAATACCATGGTAGTTTTAAGAAAAATGGATAAAAAAGGAAACTTATACTTAGAATCAGAAAGAGATAGCTGACATTTCTGGGACATATAATGAAAAAAGAGGGCTTGGAGAATTTGATACTCACAGGATATATTGAAGAAATAGGGACAGAAAGAAACGGCGCGTAACCTAACTCACAAGCTTGTATAAGTGGATGGCAAAACAAAGAGTGGGGTTGGTAAACAGGTAGCATTGCTAAGAACTAAAAAGAGATAGGATTTATTTTAAAACATTTCACCCCAAGCAAGTCGATAACGCCACAAGAACGCAAACGGATTATAGGGAGTGAAACTAAAAGAGAATGAGAAGACTGAAAAATGGATAAGATTGAGGAAAGGACAAAAACAGGGTTCAAGACAGAAGATGGTACATTTAAATTTTTGAAAATTGTAAATTTTTGAAAGCAAGAAATCGGGAGAGATTTCCACAGGTAGGAAGTGCGAGAAAACAAAATGTTGAAGTAGAAGTGACGGTCGCATCTAGCTAGTCCAACAGTAAAAATGTGAAACTTAGCTGCCATTACAGTATCACTCTTAAATTCATGTAGTCGAGCCATGTGCGTCCTTACTGGACACGGCATGTAGAAGCGAAGCTCACGGATTATTGTGAAGTGAGTTCAATGTTTAGTATTTTCTCTACATCTCAGGTTTGTCTACTTATTTTTCTTTCTTAGTCTGGTCTTTCGACTTGTGCCAAACTATATAAGTTTTTTTACTGATAAAGAGATAAAGGGTATAATATAATAACAATTCCTTGTAGAAGCTTATAAAGCTTTATTTTACTAATTCGGCTTTAGCACTGAGACACGTTTATTTTATTGTGATGGATGGTTACAAGCGAGAGGGAAGACGAGATGTGGTTATTTTATTACTGCAAACGGTATACTTTTAAAGAGGTGGAGAGAGAGAGAGAAAGAAAGAGAGAGAGAAAGAAAAAGAGAAAGAGAGAGAGATAGAAAAAGAGAGAGAAAGAGAGAGACAGAGAGAAAGAGAGAGAAAGAAAGAGAGAGAGAAAGAAAGAGAGAGAAAGAAAGAGAAAGAGAGAGAGAAAGAGAGACAGAGAACGAGAGAGAGAAAGAAGGACAGAGAGAGAGAAAGAGAGAGACAGAGAGAGAAAAAGAGAGAGAGAAAGAGGGAGAGAGACAGAGAGAAAGAGAGAAAGAGAGAGAAAGAGAGAGAGAAAGAGAGAGAGAGAGTCAGTGAATACAAAAACAATATAGAAACAACGAAGGAATCTCACAAACAGCTTAGAAAGTTTATATTTCACTTTTAATGTGAATACGAATTCATCAACATAGAGTCAGGAGACACAGTTTTATTTGACGCAAGAATTGAGAGAATAAAGAAGCCTTGAGATGGGAGGAAAAATAAAGACGGAAAATGAAAAGACAGTTACTGACACCTTGACGACAGTATTCAAAAATCAATACTTTATGGTTACTTTTATAAGACAAGGTTCCTGAGTTCATCATATCACGTTCTTGAGTAATGAACAGATACGCTGTCGGACATTTCATTGAAGCAGACGATCTTAGTGGGAGAAAAAAATGTCGCGCTTATGCTTACTGAAGATTTGACTGCAATTCTGTCGAATGGAGCTCGAATCGAAGTGAGGATCGGTTCTGAATTTTGTGTCAGACAGTAAGGTGTTCAACGGGAACTAAACTGTTATGTTGTCGGACGATATAGAACAAGGTAGACAGGTTTAGTGAATTTAATT